GGCTCCATTTGTTAATAATTTTTTAAATACTGTTTAGTATATTGATTAGGTCAAAACAGTACTTCTATTATTTAGTTAAATTTGAACCATATAATATAAATCATAATTCGGCTATTTAATCATATTAATATGTATAAGTTAGTGAGAATTTAGTATAATGGATGAGTATATTGTACATATTTTATAGTAATTTTTATCCCTAGATATAATTATTACATATGAAAAATATTAGATAAAATTATGTTATAAATATGTTCCAAACCCTACATATTATGGAGAATTTATTATTATTAAAATAAAAAGTAACAAATCATGAAATTAATTAATAATATATGAGTAGCGATGGACTAGATTATAAGTTGGAAAGATTTGCATAGTTGAAAAAAAAAAAAACGTGTATGATTATTACTAATATTATTTTTCAAATTAAAACTTCAATTATTTTCATAAAGCCGATAATTAATTTTGATAACAAGCTAGTGATTACATTTGGATTATGTTCACCTTATATAATTATCAATAAAATTAATTTTTAAATTAATATTTCATGTGATTATTTTATTTTTAATTATTTAAAAATAAAAAATAATTATTAAATACTGTCATAAGATATTAATATTTTTATTCATATAATAACACATTAAAATAAAAAAAATAAATATATGATAAATGATAATATATAAAAATAATTAATACCTTTAATAGTGATTTATATGATAATATTTCTTTCCCACTAATCCATTTATTATACTAATCAAAACGTGTTTAATCCATATTAAAGTCAACTTACGGCACTTGTAATAATAGGAATATTTTATTTATACTAACCAAGTCTTATCCATTTATATTTACCAATATGACATTGTTAAAGCTGAATTCTCATTTTTACCCTTCCGTTACCTAATGTAAATGAACAATATAACTAAGGAGTATATATTATTATAAAAAAATTTCACTCCTTTCTCTTAATTCTAGTTTTATTTTAAGGTTGCATTCCTACCTTATTTCTTTTGATTCACCTTATGCTTGGAAATTTAAATCTTGATTCGCAAGTCTGATTTTTGATCAATGGGGTTATGATCTAAGTCCAAATAAGGATTAATTAATTGTTTCGACACCTCAAAAATTAAATTCAGGACCACCGAAAATTTGTCCAATGTGGTTTCCATTAGACTAACTCTTTGGAGAGTCAATTAACGAACTTGTTGTTTGACAATTTATATCTTTTACCAATATTAACTATAAGCGGAAAATTTTAATATTAATATCAATAATCTCTATTAGCTATTAATAATAAAATTTTATATTTGGTTATATAAGTATTTATAATTTCTCATATTATTATTATTAATGAATTATATTTAAAAAAAACTACACAGTGCATACAATATTTATTAATATGACTTTTTTTTCAAGATTTAATAGATTAAAATGATATTATATGCTATGTAACACGAAGTCTTATCCTATAAAAAGTGAAAATAAAAAGTGAAAAGGTGAATTAAATAATATCTAATTTACTTTGCTAATATACATATATGGTTAATTAACAAACTTTGGTTATAACTGAATTTTAGTTATTTAGCAAAATCAATTTGATGTGGTTGGTAAAATATATGAATTTTGATTTTTGGTTTTATTTTTTTTTACAGACAATCGAATAGGCTGAAGTGAAGTATAACTGAATTTTATTTTTTTCTCGTCCCACAATTCAATTATATTATCTTCTTTTTTTTTCATCCGTTTTAAATTGTTGTCTTATTTTCTTTTTTTTTATTTATTTTAAATTATTGTCTTATTTCCTTTTTCAGAAGTGAATAATATTTTAAATTTACTATTTTATCCCTCTTTAATATACTTTTTTATATAAATATATTATTCAAACTACTATATTACTATTAATTAAATTTTGATATAAATAAAATTAAAATATCAACCTTTAATTTCCACTTATACATTAGGTAATTACCTTGATTATTGGATAGATAATTATAGTTTGGTTGATATAAATAACAACTGGTGTTAAAATCAGCGCGATGTGCGAAGCAATATTAAATGATAAAATAATTTTTTATAACATCAATACAAAAATTAGACAAGTAACATGAACACAAAACGTTTAACCTGCCTAATATTATTAACAATGTTGACCCATATACAATCCGTATAACTCGCTTAATATTATAAACAAGTTAAGTGACTTGTGTTGACTTATATACAACTCACTTAACATGCTTAAAGTATTTTTAAATTTTATCCTATTTAATTCCAATCATATTTAAAAATAATTTTTCACATGTAAAATGCATAAAACTCTTCAAGATTCATAATTAAAATAAAAAAAAGTAATATAACAATAAAATTTAAATAGGTTTTAGTTGGAGTATTTATATCTAACACTAAAAATTAAAATAAAAAAGTAATATAACAATAAAATTTAAATAGGTTTTAGTTGGAGTATTTATATCTAACACTAAAATTACCTCTTTACTCTTAAATAAACGGGTCACTCGCCTTATCCGCGTGTCAACGCGCGACATGAGTTTATATTCCTGTCATAAATGGATGACTCGTTTATGATATGAATCTATTTAACCTCAACCTTAACCTATTTATTTCACGTGTTAATTAGGCGAATTTGTTCGTGTGTTGTGACCCACTTTGACACACTCTTAATGTACTTTTCAATAGTGATAATGATTTTGAGAATTTAACTAATTATATTGAAATAAGAAATTAAGTATTTTTTATTTTTTATTTATGATTTATTATAAATAATTAATAATTACTTCTTTATTTGAAATATTAATGTATTATACTTATTTAGTGTAGTGAGTTATAAGCGTGTGGATATCCTACTTTTTTAAAATCATCGTATCGCGTACGTTTTCATATCTCGTGTTCCGTATCTATGCAACCTAGCTTCTGTTATATGAGACTACTCCATACATTAAGCTAATCAACAGAGATTTTTTTTTTATTACTAAGAAAAAATGAAGTGTTTTTTTAATTTATTTTTGTTTTTTTTTTATTAATGAAAAAATGAAGTGTTTTTTTAATTTATTTTTGTTTTTTTTTTATTAATGAATGATCACAAAATACTAACATTTTTTGAAACTAAATTTAAGAAAAAATAAGAAGAAGCTAATTTTTTTTTTTCGGAGATTGGATTAAAAAACTCATGAACAGGGAAAAAAAAGAATAGGCATGGCCAATTCGTTCAATACTGACATTTTTCAAAACTAAATTTAAGAAAAAAATAAGAAGGAACTAATTTTTTTTTCAGAAAAAATTTATATTTTTTTTTTGAGAAAAAAATTAAAATTTCTCTATAAATTTATTTTTATATTCTTTTTATTTTCCTTCTAATTTGAAATGAAAATTATAGAAATTCTTTTCCTTATTCCTTTTTTATTTTCGAATAAAATAATTTTTGCTTATAAATATTGATTTAATTTTCTGTTTTTTTCTTCTATATGAGATTATTTAAAAATATAAAACAATTTATTTTCTTACAATTATTCTCATTACAACTTATCTTATTACAACGATACTAAATAACTCGCTTGGCAATTTGAGAGATTTACGCAGTTGTCGTTTAAGATAGGCTTCTCTGCTTTTATATATTATATAATTATAGATTTAATATAGATTGTTTAATTTTAATAGAATATTAATATAAGGGCATGTTAGGAAAAAGTAAAATAAAAATTATAATTTAAATATATTAATTAAATTTTATTCATCCGTATACAAGCCAAACCAAATTATCGACCAAAGGAGTGCAACCTTAGATCTATCTATATACTACTATAATTTTTAAATATGTCATTTCACTTTTCTATCAAAATTGAGAGAACAATGATAAATATATCTCTAAAGTTCCTTATAAATTTTTATCTAGACAATTTTATCCTTATAAATAAACTTTAAAAACTAATTAACTATTGGATTATAAAAGGATATAATGATAAAATTGAATATTAAAATTTTATTTTATTTAAACCAATAAAACAAACAAATATTTTAAAATTAATTTGTATATTTACTAAAACATCCAACAATAAATAATTGTTTAATATTTTTTACACCCTTTCTTCAATACCATAGGTGAAATGTAATCATCTTTTTTTCCCATTCATAAAAAAACCCTAATAACTATTATTGAAAAATATTTTAAATTTGGATATTAACTCAATTAGTATTAAATAAAGTGTTTAATGGGTTAAATAAAATAGTTAAAAATTTTAATTTTATAAATTAAGATGTTAACAGGTAAAAATAAAAGTCAAAGATGTCATTCTAATTTTACAGTAAAAAAAAAAAAAGGTCACTTACGTTAAACTGTGAGCTAAAGTAATGGTCGGATTCGGATATGTATTCCGGGTCAAAACCCACCCAACCCAAAGAAGCGACCAAAATTTGCTATAAAAAAGAGTAATAATGGCAGGACAACGTTTCGCCTTTCCTTTCCTTTCCTTTCTCCTTCTCTTTCTTCACGCCTCCCATCCCATGCATGCACAGTGCACATATACATATATACACATACGGTTTTTAATAAAAAATTATTTAAAAATAAAACAAATCCCCACAGGCCATCGCATAACATGCATATCCATCCGTTCATCATCATCATCATGCATATACATGACCCCCTAGCCATGGCCATAAGAATCCAACACACACACGCAGAGAAAGAGATGCTGATACAAGCAGAGCTACAAAAGCCTATACGGTAGCAGTACTGAGTACTGTTTGATATTTTATTTTTATATTTTAATAAAAATTTCATATTTTTAATATCCTCATAAGAGAGAGAGAGAGGAAACAAAGTTAAGCCCATTTGTCAAAAAACGTCTCTGCTATTGTCAGGTTAAAGATATCAACCCCATCTGCCTGCCTGCCTGCTTGCCTGCCTCTCATTTATTCTTCCATCTTTTTCTTTTTCTTTTTTTTTTTTTAATTTTAAATAAATTTTGTTGCTTTTGATTTAGAGAAGAAAAATCCAGAAAAGAAAAAGAAAAAAGATTTTAACTTTCAATCGTAATAGTAGTAATCCAATTGGCTTTTCATTTATGATTGGCTGTTTAGCTGTTGTTTAACACGCAATGACTCTTTCTCTCTCTTAGAACTCCTCTTTCTTTCTGTGGGTTTTGAGGTTTGTTTTGTTTTTCTTTTATTTTCTGTGTTTTTCTCTTTCTCTAATATTAAGAACTAAGCAGTAAATAAAATTAAAGAATCTCGAGATTGGCGTCTAAGATAAAGACCACAGGGACATTATTCAAGTTCCTTCTATACTTGGGTTTTTGAGGTATACAGTGACTGTAGGAGAGAAAGAGAGAGAAAACAAATCCTCTGCACTATCAATCTGATGAAGGAGAGAGGAGGCTCTCTTGGAGGAGAGAGCCTGCCTGATACCATCAACAACAATAACAGCAAAGAAGAAGATAATCAAGAACCAAACTAAAAACACCCACTTATCCAGAAAAACTAAACTCATTCCTTACTGTCTTGAAAATTCAAAAATACCAACTGGGTTTTTGTTTTTGTTTTTTGGGTTCTTTTTGGTGTTAACATACTAAATTCCTCAAAAACGTATCTGGGTCTGTGTTGTTTTTTTGGCCTTTTCAATCTTTTAGGTGTGTTTTTTCTGCTCTGGTGGGTGGTTGGGTTTGTATATGGCACTTTCTGTGCACAATAAGGAAGGAAATAATAAGCAAATGGATTCAAGCAAGTACGTGAGGTATACACCTGAGCAAGTGGAGGCATTGGAGAGGGTTTATACAGAATGCCCAAAGCCTAGTTCTTTAAGAAGGCAGCAGCTTATTAGAGAGTGTCCTATTCTCTCTAACATTGAACCTAAACAGATCAAAGTGTGGTTTCAAAACCGCAGGTAAATACACTCGTGGACATTCTCACAACTACAAAATAGTGACACCTCGAATCTCTCTCTCTCTCTCTCTCTCTCTCTCTCTCTCTCTCCTTAATATGTTCCACGTCCATTGCTTTATTCTCCCCCATTTATGAGTTATGTTTGGGTTGTATTATCAGTTCATGTTTGTCTCTTAGGTGCCATTTTTGTTGTTGTGGTGTTGATATTCCAGGAAGAAGAGGAGTGGAAATGGTTATATTTTTTCCTAGGATCTTTTCGAATTATGTAACTTTGTATTTTTTTTTTTTTTTTGATTTTTGATTTTTTAATGACAAACAAGCTATTTTATTGGAGAAAAAAAAGCTAGAGCAGCTATGTTTGGATTATATGGGAATTAATGTGCCCTCTTTTAAAGAAAGAAAGACAATTGTCTGTTGTGGGTTTGGGTAAATTCTGGCGTTTTGTTTATAGATTTCATTTTCCATCGAAAAAGTAGAATTTTGAAAAGCAAGAGGGAGTTGGTTCTTCTTTGTTTATTATTTCTTGGTTCTTCTTTGTTGTGTTTTTAACTATATTCTAGGTCTTGACTTTGTAGTTAAAATTGTGGAGATTTAAACTTTCTAAGTGTTGTTTTTCTTTTGAAGAGTAATAAGTTTTCTTTATTTTTTCCCGAACTGTAATTTTTTATATTTGATGGACATTGACTTTGTTTTTTAGTGGAATTTGAGTTTGTTATTTTGTTTTTGTTGTTTTTTTTTTCCTCGTCTTTTGAATGTGTTTGGTCCTTTTTTTTTATTTGAATGTTTCCTTAAAGAATTTCCATTTGCTCTCTACTTTCAGTATATCTGCATATAAATGGAAGATAACGATAGCTAATTATTTTGCATTTGATGGCTACATATTCGTTTTACTGGAGTTCTTATTTATCTCTTTGATGAGTCTTCATATGTATGTTGCTGTAGAAGATGTTAAAATGCAACTTTCATTTCATTCTGTTTCTCCCCGAAATTTTGCCTTTGGAAATCATTATGGGTATTTTCACTAAAAATAGATTATTAGTTTTTACTCTTAGATGTTGTGGTTTTGAAATTTAATGGATGACAGTAACCGCTAAAGAATTCACTTTTGGTAATACATACGGTATAATTTTGTCCATTCTTTTATTGGTTTTCCTCTATTATATTTTTCTTCTTTAAAAAAGAAAAAAGGAAGGGTTTTTATCTGGTCGCAGTAGAAAGAGTAGGAAATGGATATCTGACTAGGATCAGGAATATTTTTCTTCTCCATTTTGGTATATTTTTTCAGGCTTCTATCTTAATTACAATTGACATCATGATAAACTAGGGGTTTCTTTTGAGAAAAAGAAAGAAATATCGTTTTTAGACTTGAACAAACTTTTTGTTAAAATTTTTCTGTTACATACCTAATCCTGAAGCAAATATCTTTTTTTCTTGGTGGTAGATGAATCTTCAGTGCTGAACTTAAAGAACTTTAGATTTTTAAGATGTGAGTTTTCCTTAATATTTTCGTGGAAAGAATGTTTTGTTGTCGTGTTTGAAATAAAATTTTAAAGAGTTCTCTTCTTTTTTTGTACCCATTAGCAGTTGTATTTTCCTTTCCTAATAATTTTTGGACTAATGAAATGATGTGATATTTTTCTCTTTCTCTTCTTATTTCATTTGCTGACCATTCTTCTTTTAATTGGGTTCGAAACTTGCAGCGAGTTTTAGCTCATTTGTGTAGTGTTTTTACATTGATTTGTTTTAAAATGCATCTTGATTGAGCACCTGGGGCCACTGTTCTTATTTCTTGCCCTAGTAAGATCTAAACATCTTTTCAGTGTGAAATTAGCAAGTTTCTGAAAGTCTTAATTTGTTATTGAATTGTCCTCAGCTTGGTTTATGGATTTCTGAAAGAAGTTTGGTGATAAGTGATACCTGACTTAGTGCATCAATCGTTATTCATGACAGATGTCGCGAAAAGCAGAGGAAGGAAGCTTCTCGTCTCCAGACAGTGAATAGAAAGCTGAGTGCTATGAACAAGCTGTTGATGGAAGAGAATGACCGGTTACAGAAGCAGGTCTCACAGTTGGTTTATGAGAATGGATACATGCGCCAACAGCTGCAGACCGTAAGCTTATTTGCCTTATTAATGCGCACTATTCTTTACATTTTATGCATTCTCCTGTCAAGAAGAAATCATTTCTTGCATTCTTATCTTGGACTTTATCCACTATCAGGTCCTTGAGCTAATTACTGATAGATTCCTACTTTTTATTGATTCTTTTTCCTTCACATGTACACTGCTGAATACTAACACCTGCTCACGAGTTTCTTCCAACTATTGGTTTAATATATTTGCAGTTTATTTTGATTAGTTATCCAGCTTTCTGTTGCTAGGACAGATTCATCATGCATGAGTTGTGCTTTTCATGTTTGGCTTGTATTCCAGTAGATATGTTTGGACTTTATCGACTATATATTTTACGAGAAATTGAAGTGTCTGTATATGCACACTAAAAAAATATTTCTGTGTTGGACTTTAATTAGGCTTCAGCAACGACCACAGACAATAGCTGTGAGTCTGTGGTCATGAGTGGTCAGCAACAGCAGCAAAACCCAACACCTCAGCATCCCCAACGGGATGCTAACAACCCAGCTGGGTAAGAAATTACTGTGTGAAATAATTTAATCAAAAGGTTCTTGTTTCATTTTATTAACTAGTTTATTTTTCTTGTATTGTTAGTCTTCTTGCAATAGCTGAGGAGACCCTGGCAGAGTTCCTTTCTAAGGCTACTGGAACTGCTGTCGACTGGGTCCAGATGATTGGGATGAAGGTAACAGTTCTGGAAAATTTTCATGTTATCTGTGATGCTTAATTTCTTAATTATTGTTCATGCTTAGTTTCTATCTGTTTCTGATATATTGCTACTCTCCTGTTGATAACTATTAGCCTGGTCCGGATTCTATTGGCATTGTTGCTGTATCCCGCAATTGTAGTGGGGTAGCAGCACGAGCCTGTGGCCTCGTGAGTCTAGAGCCCACGAAGGTACATATATCTCCCTCTTTGAATTATTCAAGCATGGAATGCTTGTTTTGTTATAGCTCTTGATGAGAGTGTTCCTGTAGGTTGCTGAAATCCTCAAAGATCGTCCATCTTGGTTTCGTGACTGTCGATGTGTTGACATATTGAGTGTGATTCCTACAGGAAATGGGGGCACATGTGAGCTTATATACATGCAGGTTTGTGGTTTTGTAAACAGTAACCTAGACACAGTTTTAGCCTTCTCTCAATTACTTGACCTTCTGATTTTGTGCTATATGGTATCTTTCGCATTGATCTTTATGGTTTCTTTCTTCATCAGACTTATGCCCCAACGACATTGGCTGCAGCACGTGACTTTTGGACACTGAGATACACTACAACATTGGAAGATGGCAGTCTCGTGGTAAGTCATGTGGTTCCCCCTTTTCTTTCAGTTTTTTTATCTCTTACTTTCATGTATGTGATTTATAGAATTGGTTATAGTATTTTGTCTTGAACTTGTAGATATGCGAGAGGTCATTGACTACTACTACCGGTGGCCCAGTTGGGCCACCTACTTCAAGCTTTGTGAGAGCTGAAATGCTTCCTAGTGGCTATCTGATTCGACCTTGTGAGGGTGGTGGTTCAATCATTCACATTGTTGATCATGTTGATTTAGATGTGAGAATCATATATAATTTTGCTGTTCAAGTCTTCTAGCAAGTTCTGATTAAATCTCTTTAAACATTACCTTAAACTATGTTATTTTAATGATAGGCTTGGAGTGTTCCTGAAGTTCTGAGGCCACTTTATGAATCATCCAAAATTCTTGCTCAGAAAATGACTATGGCTGTAAGAACTACTTGTATGATTTGGATTATTCCTTCTTTGGTTTGGTTAGTTATGTTGATGTTTTCCTTGTGTTTTAATCATGTAGGCCTTACGGCACATACGGCAAATTGCACAAGAGACTAGCGGAGAAATTCAGTATGGTGGGGGTCGCCAGCCTGCTGTTTTAAGGACATTTAGTCAGAGGCTTTGTAGGTAAGGCTTAACTTTGCATGGCCAAGTGTTGGATGAATTATTCAAGCATAGTCCTTGGAGGTTCTCATCACTAACCCTGATGAATTATTTGTTTGTAATTGGATGTAAGGGGTTTCAATGATGCTGTCAATGGATTTGCGGATGATGGTTGGTCGCTTCTTGGTGGTGATGGGGTGGAGGATGTGACCATTGTCATAAATTCATCTCCAAATAAATTTCTTGGATCTCAGTATAATGCATCAATGTTCCCAACTTTTGGGGGAGGGGTACTCTGTGCAAAGGCGTCAATGTTGCTGCAGGTATTATCTGGAATACAAACAGATCCTTGTGGGTGTAATATGTTTGTCCATTGTGCCAAATATCACTAAATAATTTTCTTTTCTGCATATTTTTTTGCCAGTAAGCTTTGCATTCACAATTTCATGATTGATTCGTTGATAATTTTGACAGTCATGTATTAATAATAACTATTCATGTTGTCTGCAGAATGTTCCCCCTGCTCTGCTTGTCCGTTTTCTGAGGGAGCATCGTTCAGAGTGGGCTGACTATGGGGTTGATACATACTCAGCTGCATGTCTCAAAGCAAGTCCTTATGCAGTTCCTTGTGCAAGACCTGGGGGCTTTCCAAGTAGCCAGGTCATTTTACCTCTTGCCCATACTGTGGAGCATGAGGAGGTAATGTCTTTCTAACCAAATTCATATACCTTTGACTTCTTCCGTCATATCCTAAAAACTTCTTGGTGTAATACTGTTTTAAATTTTGGATTTTTCCCTATATATAGTTCTTGGAGGTAGTTCGGTTGGAGGGTCATGCCTTCTCCCCTGAAGATGTAGCTTTGGCACGGGATATGTACTTGTTACAGGTTGGTCTAGTTTCAATCAGTTTGGTGGAAAGTGTTCTTTTTATCAGTGGACAGCTTTTTTACTGATTTTATTTCACAAAATTCCATTTTGGCAGCTATGCAGTGGGGTTGATGAAAATGCTGTTGGCGCCTGTGCCCAGCTGGTCTTTGCACCTATTGACGAATCGTTTGCTGATGATGCTCTTTTGTTGCCATCTGGTTTTCGTGTCATACCATTAGACCCTAAAACAGTTGGGTGACCTGTCATCTTATACTATGATCATTCATGTTGATGTCATGCACAGCATGATCAAAGGTTCTTCTGACCTGTCATCTTGTTTCATAATTTGTTGTGATTTCTTTTACTGCAGGATGGGCCTGCTGCAACTCGTACATTAGATTTGGCATCTACGCTTGAAGTAGGTCCTGGAGGTGCACGTCCATCCGGTGAAGCCGACACCAGCAGTTATAACCTTAGGTCTGTCCTTACAATTGCGTTTCAATTTACTTTTGAGAACCACTTGCGAGACAATGTGGCTGCTATGGCTCGCCAATATGTGCGTAGTGTTGTGGGGTCTGTTCAGAGGGTTGCAATGGCTATTTCTCCCTCACGACTCAGCTCCCAGATAGGGCCGAAGTCTCTTCCTGGCTCTCCTGAGGCTATTACTTTGGCACAATGGATTTCCCGAAGCTACAGGTATGACATTATTCCCTCATGGTTTGTACCTGTCCTTAGATTAATATAAGCAGAAGGATTAACATTAATGTTTGCTTAGTTTTAGTTGAATTTTCATGTCTGAAAGGCTGTTTAATAACTATATGAGGACAAATGAGGAGTCATTACAAAATTTGTAGTGTTTATCACTGAAGATGTGGTGTCACTGTATTAAAGTTTGTCATTTTCATTGGATGACTATGATTCAGAAAACACAAATATGTGACTTCACTTTTTTAATGAAAATGGTTAATGCAATGTGTAGACAGAGTAAGTTTAGCTGCTGCTGTTTCTTTTTTGGCTGTCTGATTATGTTTGTGACGTGTTACAGGATCCACACTGGAGGAGATCTCTTTCGGGTTGATTCTCAAGCTGGCGATGCTTTGTTGAAGCAACTATGGAACCATTCAGATGCAATCATGTGCTGTTCCTTGAAAACTAATGTAATCATTTTTACTTATTCATCCAATTTGAGGAAATGTTCATATTGTGATCATTCCTTGCACAATAAGAATGAATTTGATCAGCAAAAATATAATTGCAGGCATCTCCAGTCTTCACCTTTGCAAACCAGGCCGGACTTGACATGCTTGAAACTACTCTTGTAGCCCTTCAAGATATTATGCTTGACAAGATTCTAGATGAAGCTGGCCGGAAGATTTTATGCTCTGAGTTCTCTAAGATCATGCAACAGGTAAATTTCTCAGTACCTGAAATCATCTGTAAGTAGATAAAAAATAACTCAAACCTAGTTTTTTACCTCAGGAAACAAGATTACATTCAAAACTGAACAGTTTTTTTATTATGGCACTCTTTGGCTGTCTGTTATGGCTTTCTGATTCTTTTCATCACAAGCATCAATTGTTCACAACTGATGGCTAGGATTGCAGACGAAGTGCTTTAATGCAATTTACTATTGTAATTTTCAGGGATTTGCGTATCTGCCAGCTGGAATATGTGTATCGAGCATGGGGAGGCCAGTCTCCTATGATCAGGCCATTGCATGGAAAGTCCTTAATGATGATGATTCCAACCACTGCCTGGCCTTCATGTTCATGAACTGGTCTTTTGTGTGATAGTTATGAAAAGAACACATAGAAAAAACTTAGCTATCTACTATAAGTTATATGTTTCCTTTTATTAGCACCTAAATGACAGACATTTTGAATGGAGTAATTGAAGTATATTATGGTTGCATTTGTCTTCATGTGCATGTTGATGTATTTGCTTGATGGGTGGTGTTCCACAGTCTATCTATCAAATTTTCTTGGCAAGTCTGGTGAAATTTCAATCAAAATGGATGATGTCTGTTGAAATCTCCATGTGCATGGATGATGTTGGACCCACCTTCTGTTAGAGTTGTTGGCTTGGTTTTGTTAGTTGTTGATGATTGATTCTATCATGGGTCATAATCAAATCACCAATAATGTATGGTAATATTCTTAATATGTTATCATTCTGTCTTTTGTCTGTCTTTATTGGTGAAAGGGTTGTCTTCTGAAGTCAATACTTGAGCAGAACTAGAACTAGATTGCAAATGATTATTAATCCTTGCACTTCTCATCTTTTGGGGCATTAGAAAACATAGGGGCCAAAAATCTATCTTGAGCTAGTATTGTAGGACTTTGGATGATCTGAAGATGAATTTTAGGCCTAAAAATGTTTTAATCGACACAACAAGCCATAATTCTGATAATTAATTTGTTACAATATACTACTGAATGCGTATATGAAACCATTGATGAAATGCTTTCTCTACTTGAGCGTAACCTTGTTTGAAGTTCCTGGTTTTGCATGAGAGGCATACTGTGTGTATTTTGCCTGACTAACTTTATTTGTGATAGGATGTTGAATGAGAGGCATGGGGCTTTAAAGCTAATCATAGTTATAAAATGTTCATGCTATAAGAGTTTCTGTTAAATTTATTTGAAATTCATTGATTTTGATAAATAAATTCGCTATTGCATTTAACTTTTTTTTTTTTTTTTATAAAAAAATTAGAATTTTTTTTATTTGATTGGATGTATATTTTTCTAGAAGTTAGTTTTTAAATTCTTTTAAATTAATATATAGATAATTAAGCTTTTTAAAATTTTTATTTTCCTTAAGATATGACCATAAAAAACTTAATTTGAATACAACGCAAATTCTTCTCTAATCCAACTTATATAAGCATCTATGGGCGAAACGTGTGACGCAGATTTATATATTAATATTATATTATTTTGAAACTTTTATTGTTTTTTAGCAAAGAAAAAGTGATGCAGATTTATATATTAATATTATATTATTTTGAAACTTTTATTGTTTTTTAGCAAAGAAAAAGTGATGCAGATTTATATATTAATATTATATTATTTTGAAACTTTTATTGTTTTTTAGCAAAGAAAAAGTGATGCAGATTTATATATTAATATTATATTATTTAACGCAAATCTACTTTCTCTAAATCAACTTATAAGAGCATGCTATGGGACCGATGAAGTGTGACGACAGGATTTATGTATATTAAATATTATAAATAATTGATTTATGAAACTTTTATTGTTTTTGTTAGCTATAAGAGGGACCATTAATGGAACTAAAGACAGTGGGCTTCTTGGGAAATACTATACTCGTGCCATAAACACTACACATCAGTTTTTCGCTGGCTCGGTGCGGCTTCTAGCTCCACCACATCAAATCTTGACCAGTTACAAAGTCTTTGAGATTCTTCATATACTCCATCTCTTATTAACACTTATCGTAAGTGACCCCACCGCTGGATTTCCTAGTGATTCGCAGCTTCTATTGGTCTTACTATTTAATAAATTATTTGACAACAACACCTTTATTAAATTATTTATTTTGATGGCAAAAAGTAAAAAAGATGGATGTCGAAATTAAGACGGAGGATAGAAGGAGTAAGTCTATGGTCAGCAATAACAGCGTTAAAGTATTGCAAAACTTTGGCTACTGGTTAAGATATACTGCTTAAGTTACGAATAGTAATTATAGGGGTTTTATAAGGTTTTTTTTCAAAGGAAATTCTAACCAATTTTATATCCTTCTGCTCGTTTTTGAATATCATGCTTTTCTTCTTCTTGTTATAAAGGTTTAAATTAGATTATAAAAGAGATAAAAAGTACTATTTTATGTGTTTCTGATGCTTAATATTATATTATTTTGAAACTTTTATTGTTTTTTAGCAAAGAAAAAGTGATGCAGATTTATATATTAATATTATATTATTTTGAAACTTTTATTTTTTTTAGCAAATAAAAAATGTCGAAATAAACGGAGTAAGAGTAGTTATGTAGCAAATAAAGTTAAATATTGCAAAACTTTTAGCTACTTTTAAATATACTCTTAATATAATGAGTAATAATAGTTTTTATAGTTTTTTTCAAAGAATTTAACAATTTTTTATCTCTCTTTTTGAAATATCATGCTTTTTTTTCTTTTATAAAGTTAATTAATTAAAAAAGAAAAATATATTTTATGTTGTTAAGTTTTGAATGAGAAAAATGCATGTTAATTATTAATATTGTTAATGAAAATAAATAATAATATTATTTAAATAATGTATTTATAACTGCGCGAGAAGCGCAGATTATGACTAGTTTATGAGAAAAATAGTAACTTTAGAATGATAGAATAGTAAGTTTAAGAGAGGTAATTCATACATTGTATAAAGAAGAATTAATAAATGAACTTTGTAAATAAATCCAAAAGCGTGTCAATTTAATCTTATTTTTGGTCCATTTTTCTCTAGTATTTTTTCTTTGTTTTTTTTTAAAAAAAAAAATCAAATTGAAACTTGAAGTGTTCCCCTCTGATTTAAATTGGGTTCAGAATTGGATTTTAAAGTTTAGACATAATTTGAATTTGGGATTTTGGGATTAGGTTTTGGTGAAATTATATTATCGCCCCTACCTAGGACTGTCAGAAAGCAGACAAGGTAGTGTAGTAATGAGAACAACAAAAAGCAAAGAAGAAACCAAAATTGTTAATAGGTGCAGTTTCTAATTTCTACAAAGAAAAAGCATTTATTTATGAAGTGATCTTTCACAGAATCCCTTTTCATAATTTCTTTCTACCTGTTAATTATTAAAAGGGTAATGGTTCTTGGCTCCCTTGATCCGATATCATTGAACATAAAATGTCTAGTTTATCCTTGTATTGGCCATGTAAAATATCATTTATGTCCCACTGTTTCTTTATTAACTAACCTTAGACAAAGTAGCAAATGAGTTACATTCCCTAATTTTAAGCTTTTGTTTTACTATTATTAATTGTTTCCTTTCATTTTTTATTTTTATTTAAAATATACATCTATATTATATATAAAAGTGGGAATAGAGGGAATAATAGAATTTCTGATAGTGCTCTTAATGAAATTTAGAATATTCTAAAATAACCTTAGTTATAGCCAATTAGAAGATTATATTTTATTATGATATATTTATAAAAATTATTTTGTAAGCTAATCATATGTGGTATGATTATCTTTTCACTTATGTGAGGAGTGAGAGGTCTCGAATTCGAATCTTCTCAACCACAAGTATTTTCATCAACTTAGTGAGTGAAAGGTTTTTTCTTGTTGTCTATCCCGCAGTGTTATTTCGACCCGTTGGGCCTCCTAATAAATTAAAAAAATTATTTTTAAATAAAATACATATAGATAATTAAGCATTTAAAATTTTAAGTTTTATCTTTGCTAAATTTATTTTTTAATAAATATATATGATAATGAGACATTCGAAAAATATTTTTATATTTTATTTATTAAATATTTTGATCAAACAACAAGAGATTTTCACTCATGACAACTTGAGTGAGTGGAAAGGTTTCATTTGTTCTTGTGTCGTCTATCGCCGCGAGTGTTATTGTCGATCCTTCGTTGGGCTACTTTCCTGACCTATTATAAAATTGATTAATTATAAGAATTGGGGATGTGTGGATTTTAGAATAAATACATAATATAGGATTAAATGTAAGCTATTAAAATTTTTTACAGTCTTTGCATTCTTTCTACATTTTATATTATGTTTAAATAAAATATATACTGATATAAAATGTGATGACATTCGCATAAAATATTAGTTTTATTATTCTATTTATTTAAATATTTTATTTCTTTTTGAATTGGGATATTAAGAAATACAAAGAGAGAAAAGATCAACGTTTTTTTATTAATTTTTGTTTCCTTTAGTTTGATGATGGAATGGATTCTGACTGCGATGATTTTTCTAGAACAATAAATGTTTTCAATATATATATTATTTTTTATAGATGTTCTTTATTTAGGGAGAGATAATATAAGAAAGAAAAAAAGGTAGTCATTAGGTTTCGTCATAAGTTACATATTTGCTTATTTATGTTTAATGTAATGATTAGCATTGGATATTATGTTTTTTAAAGAAAGTAAATTTTACAGAATAGAATTATTACGCATGAATTAAAAACCCTCGTTGAAAAGAACAGCTGAAAATTGTTAATTTTAAAGAATATCATATATTATGAATTTTTATATTGATAATGTTTATAAATTCTTACTGTTATTGTAAAGCACTTTTTTGTTTAGTGTGTAGTCTTTTGTAAAGGTTTTAATTTTTAATAAATTAAATTTTCTTTATTTTTTTTTTCATTCTTGAGAATCAGATATTGTAAATACTTTCATTTTAATTAGTAAAGAGATTTTATAACTCTGCTCAGCACTAAAGCCATTGGTCTTATGTTGAGGTGATGTATGAACAATGTTTTAACTTTTTTCCCCCTATGATTTTTTTTTTCTACTCTATATTCTTAAATATGTTTAGATTTCAATACGAAATTATTCGGTAGGAGGACTGGCAAAAAAAAAAGAAAAAGAATATTGGTTCTGATCTTGAGTAACTTTTTAGGGGGTTAGTGGAAATATAATTTGAATTGTTTGGTTAGTTTGTAATTTGTAAGTCTTTTGTAGATTTTCATTCATTTATCCATCTGACTATTTGGATATCTGAATTCTTCACACTTGACAACTTATTTTTAATAATAATTTTTTATTTTCTTTTTCATTACTGAATAATTTGTAACTACTATCATTTTAATTTAGTAAGAGATTTATATCTCCTTGCAATAAAGAGATGGTCTATTGATGATTAAGCATTTTTAATTTTCTTGATTTTTTTCTCTTATATCTTAAATATGTTTGATTTAAAAGAAAATTATTCAGGAGACTGA